TCCGACGCTGCGACATAACGAGGTGAGGGACATCACCGCCAGAGCTCTTCCACTGTCAAGACAGAACTCCCGGCGCTTAAATGCATCGAAAGCTACTGGACCGGATGGCATTCCCGCTCGAATCCTGAAGATGTGCGCTGACCCCCAAAGTAAACCAGTGTCCAAACTGTTCTCCCTTAGCTTCTACAGCATGGTTATGCCGACATCCTGGAAGACAGCTAGAGTCACACCCATTTACAAGAAGAAATCCAAGAACCTGCCTCAACACTACAGACCTGTGTCTCTGCTGTCAATAATATCCAAAGTGATGGAAACAATAATATTTTATTGTAGGGGTGAAAGTTGGCACTGAGATCCCGAGTTCGAGTACTCTGATTTTCTCCGATCGAATATTCGAGTATTCGAGTATTCTTGATATCCTAAAAATCGCACACCAAGGTCCCTAAAAATCACATGGTACAACCCTGATTGAACCAATTGGCAGTCCTTTTCTCGAGTGTATTGGTTGGTGGGTCATTTGGGCTCTCTCTACTCATGTACAAATGCTCACCACACACTCTGTACATCAATATCTGCTGACTGCTGCTCTGAAACTGCAGACTTCTGTGGTAAATGCATGTACCATGTATGAGCGAGTACCGGTACTCTGATTTATTCCGAGTACGATTAAAGTTGAAAAATCCAAACGAGTATTCGAATATTCGGTATAATTGTTTCACCCCTATTTTATTGTCAATCGTCAGATAACCAGTTTCCTGGAGTCCCACAATGTCATCTCCGCGAAAAAGTTCGGGTTCAGAAAGGGCCTGAGCACAGCTGACGTCTTAACCAAGCTCCACTGTGAATTGTCCAGAGCAGCCAGCCTTGGTGGAGCGGCCCATATTTTGGCGATAAATATAGCAGGCGCCTTTGATAAAGTCAGCCATGCTGACCTGCTGCACAAGGCTTCCGTGTACGGTCTAGACGGCCCGCTTCTCGGATGGCTGGAAAGCTACCTGCACACCCGGCGCCTGCAGGCTGTTGTGGGCGGCCAAGAGTCCTCCCTGCACCATATCCAAGCAGGGGTACCACAAGGTAGCATCCTTGGATCTACGTTATTCCTCCTGTACGTAAATGACTGCGAGGACACCTTGCTTGCTGGTGCTGAGGTTGCCACCTATGCAGATGACACGACACTGTATCAGTGCATCTCTGCCACTTCCAGCATATCCAACTCTGCAGCACAACTCCAGGAAGCAGTGGACGCCGTCTCCCACTGCGGTCCAAGTGGAAGGTCCCCTTCGAGCCATCAAAATCTCAGGCCCTCATCATCGACCACCGCAAGCGCTCCCACCAGTGCTCTTCAATGGAGTGACTGTTCCTGAAGAGAAGGAAATTAAACTTCTGGGCAAAGCATTCGACTCGCAACTGTCCTACTCAGCACACCTCCGGGACGTGGCCTCAAAGGCTGCCCAGCGCCTACACTTCCTGAGACAGGTTGCAGCCCTGTTGGACTCTAGCGGCCGCACTGCAGTCAAGCAGGAGAGTGACATTATGTGTTCGGCTGTCCAGGCTGCAGTGGTGATGAGGAAGACACGATCATCACCCCGAGATCGATTGTAGCGAATTGGAAAACTCATACTATCTCATATCACTCTTTATGTCACTCTCTTGCTCAACAGATTCCTATTATCTAGATTTTGTTACCGTCAGGGAACGAAATAGAGCTGAAAATCACCAAAGCAATTGTTTTCTTCCGTTCAATTAAACTGCTGAGCATGCACATCATGGTGACAGCTAAGCAGTACGCACGTCATCAAGCCCAATGCCCAAATATGGAAGGTGTTATTTATGAAATCTGACGCGGTTCCTCTTCTCTAATCTGCTCCAGACATAGGTATTTGTATTTGTATTTTATTATATTTAAGTATTTCCCAAAGGCTTTGGGCCTGTCGAGGGGATCTCCTGCAAGAAGAATGAAATGACAACTTTATGTAGAGGGAGCAGTTAATCGAGGATAGGCGAAGGAAATAGATCGAGGCATACAAAATCTGGTAATTAAGGAGTTGGGATACCGTCAGTGTAATGAATATATCGGCGATAATGCTGATAGAGAGAATGCTTGAATTCGGGGAGGTTGGTTATAACGTTAGGGTTTAAAGTCGGGCTACAGTGTACTTCGGCAAACCGGACAACAAAGAAGTTGAGACCAAAGAGAATGATTTTTTTGCGCATGCTTGTATGTACATGTATGAAGTGACGTGATAGAAGTCAGGCCGCTACAGTAATCCCCCGCCAGTGGTGAGGTCGGGAGGAGCGAAGCACGATAAACAAGAAAAAAAGGAGAGAGAAGAGAAAGGAACCGCGGCATGTACAAGGCGGAAAAGCAAGAACAAATGTAATACAATATGTACAAGAGAGCGCTGCGTGTATGAAATTTGTTAACCCTTTAAGAGCCGCCCCATACTTGAATGCGTCGTAAACGACGCATTCAAATGCAAAACTTCAAAAGATCGTAACTCAGTCCAATCTCGCTCAAATCCAGTGATCGAAATATCCAGGGCGAAGAGAAAACTCTCACCTGTCGGGAGAAACAATCTGCGAAGCGCTGCGATCAACGGTTCCTGAGATAAATCACTCGTAAGTTGAGCCGCGATCGCGGCAATTTCAAAAGCGTGCAGTGCGACTTTAGTATTGAGAATTTTGAGACTTTTCGTCACGCTGGTTTACTCGAATTTGCACGGGTCTCACTGTTGATATTGTCAAGAGTACACAGCGAAAAAATTGGAACTCCACGATCGAGTAAAATGAAATATCTGGAGCGGGACGCAATTGGACGCATTTGGGGCTTTTTTCGTACTGTCGCTGCGATCTAGCGCTGGATAGACGGTGTGCTGGCTATCATGATCGACCTCATTTTCTTCCTCTCGCGGAGACCTTTCCAGGAAGCCCTAGATTGTGAGAATTGAGTGAGTAGAACTGAAGCTATGATCCAAGGAACACGAAAAAATGCAGAAATTTCAAATTTTCCTGTGGCTCTTAAAGGGTTAACAACGTGGCAACAAAGGCCCAACAAAAATCAGAACGTATAATAGAAAGCGGAAAGAGAGATGCATGACAGAGCCAGGTTAACGTGTTAGAGCCCTGTTAACGTGGCAGAGGTGGAGAGCATGTCAAAGGCAGAAAGAAAGAACAGAGGAAATGTACGCGTGACAGAGGAGTGTTCGTGAGTTGGCGATGGTGGAGGGTCGGGTTCCCCTCCCGTGATTAGTGCTGCACCGAGCTTGTTTTGTGCGAAAGTATATTATATTATTCTTATTCTTATATTTAGAAGTATTACAAAATAATTGAGAGGCTTTGAATCGTTTTTATCAAAATCTAAATATTTGCCGGGTTGGAAGTTGGGACCAAAAAAAAAGAAAAAAAGTGTTATCATGTCAGAGGCGGCTGCATGTTGCAGGCTTTGTGGGGTACCACCAGGAGCGCTGCACTGGGGCGAGGCGTGCCCAGTGAGGCCGGGACGGGTGGAGGCGTGCGCAGCTCCACAGAGGCCGGTGCCGGGCGTGTGCCTGCGTGCGTGCACAGTTGAGCTGGTACGGATGGTGGAGGTGGCCAAATTCCAGCTTGAGGCCACGACGAAGACGAAGGACGAAGACGACTGGACAGTAGGGAGGTTTAGTCCCACGTAATCCGTGGGTACTTTACGTGTGTGTACCACGTGATACTCAGTGACCCACGTACAGACGTTTTCTGAATCACGACATACCATGTATGGAGGCTCACTCACGTTCCGCCAGAACGTGGGTGAAAATCAGAATGGAGCGCATTGTGCGAGCTGTGAGGGTGCTCAGCTGAAGAAGTTTCCGAAGAACGAAATCAAAAATATTGGATGAGCTTCTTAGGCCCGGATAGCTTCGTCTTTGACCAGGTTTGGGCCTTTCGCTTCATGCTTTTGTTTGTTCCGTGTGACTAAACACAACATTGCAACGTGGGTGCCCTTCATCCACTTTACGTGGATCATCCACGTAGACGCGTTTCCGTCACGTGGGAACTAAACCTCCCTAGTGCCGTGGCAGGATAGCGGGTTATCCAGGTAGGCCAGGGGGTGGCAGGGGCCAAAGCAGCTCCGAAGCGGATCCAGTGTCGAGTGGTGGTGCGGCTCACGTTTTACATCAACAGCCAGCGATTGACGGGATCCCGAGAGTTGAGGCCAGCAGGAAACTGCGGCGAGCCGAGCTCAGGGATGGCATGATGATAACTCCGAAGAGCGCAGCGTCTGGGGTCACCAATTTAGGGTTTAATGTCGGGCCCAAGACGACGGCTACTTTGGCCAACCGGACAACAAAGAAGTTGAGACCAAAGGGAATGATTTATTTTCTTGTGCACGCTTGTATGTATGAAGTGACGGAATAGAAGTCAGGCCGCTACAATAGCTCATCGGAATCAGTGCCCAATTCTCCTTCGGATAAGCCATACATATTTTTGGCGTTCAGTTTCCCTTGAAGGATTCCCCAAAGTCTCCTCTGTTCCCGTTTTCACCCCGTATACGGACCATCATGACAACCGACCAAAAACTCCTTTAAATTGTGTTCACAACTGGCGCGTGAACGCGGTACGCTTGCGGTTCATGCGTGCCCAAACGCGCGCTCAGGCTTTCACAAAAAAAGCAATTCGAGTCGTATTTAGGGCGTAGGACACTTTCGAGTACTAATATTTTTACCCCGCCAGTCAAAGTGAATGGCATATACGCTGGTACGCGCCTGATATGCCCTGAAAATTCCAACATGTTGGAATTTCCATTTCGGCGCGTTTCCGTACGCATGGCGCCCCAAAAGCCAGCAAAAATACGCACAAACGCGTGGTTTGACGCGTACACGCGCTAGTTGCGAACACAGCTTAACGTGTACGTAGACGCAGCGCTTTGTACCATGGTGTGATGACAGATTACAGAGATTCAAGGGAACTAAACGCACTGCATGTGATATAGCCACAATATAGTACACGCAGCGACAACAGCACGGTCTAGTGTAAAAACACGCTTCATGTTGATAGTTGACACAAGGTGATAACTGTTGAGTTCAAGTTGATTATGCTGAAAGGAACAAACAATTATCTGTGATTAAGTCAATCATAACCATTCGTTTTGAAAAATTCTATTAGTAGAAAAGAGAAAAGGACCAAGGAACAAGGAGCTACGCTATAATGTCCACTAACACCACTAGTAACTAAACAGTCAGCTCATGGGATAACATTGCACGCCAATGGCCAGCGGTGTTGACGTTCTGCAACATTGGAAGGCAAGGCATTCTAGAGCTGATGGTCAGTGGATTGTAGAACGTTTTCCTTGGTCCTCCATCCGAGATTTCTATTCGAGTCCATTTAATTATACATTGTAAGTATCCAACACATTGGAAACTGTCTCTTCGTTATGTTTAAAATTAATGGTTCCATTAATTTTGCGCCATACCACTTCCTAGTTATAACATCACATGTATGAGTCCACAAAGGACGGAAGCAGTTCTCTCCGTATAATGAGTATGAGAAGTTTAAGAAAAGTTCTGAATCGAAAGAAAACGCCGATAGTTCACTGGCCAGCATCAACATTCTGCATATCTCTACATGTGCATGTACATGTACATGTAATAGTCGTAAGGATATCTTTGCAACACTCAGTACAATACTGTGACTCAGTTCGTTCTTACCTACATTGTACTTGGGACTCACACACCTGCCACCGAGGTAAGGACTTATTGTTGGGTCTCTGAACATTACTTGCTGATTCAGAATAGCTGTTGGGAGAGCTACACGTCAGCAATACATAGATCGCTATGTACATGTAATAGCCCTTTGGGCTAAACGTCCGCTTGATTCGCAGGAAGCAAAGCAAAGCAAGCACACCCTGGTACACCTTTTACGTGCACGAGTGTACGGAACAAGCAAAGCAGATTCCAGTGGATAATTTAACTCTGCTCACGTGGATATAAGCGAAAGTTAAGCTCGACTGGAACCATCATCATTTGGCTCTCAGTCTCCACGTTCTCATCATCCAGCTCCAGCTTGTAGCGAAGCAACCACATCGCTGCGCTGGTCCTCAACGCCGCCATGGCAATAGGATAGCCGAAACACTTGTACTGACCAAAGCCGAACGGAGCCGATGTAAGCCCTGGTCTCTTTGCACCACCTGAAACAGGATCAGCTTCCCATCGCTCCGGTCTGAATTGATCAAAGTTGTCGTATGACTGCTCATTCAGTCCGTCGAAAACTGTCAAAACGGTCGCGTGCTTTGGAATCGTGTAAGCTGCATGGAAGACATGAAAGAAACAAGGAACGGTGCCTGTTTTACTTCATTGACAACAACCGTTTTGGAAGAACAAACATTTTAGATTAGTCCTATAAGTTCAATTTCACGTTGTTTCCTGGTTATTCTAGATTTCAGAATTAGCCACTTGTATTTGTTTGGTAAATGTTTTTGTTTTATTAATTTTATTATGTCGAAAGTGAAATGGGAACTCATACCCAATGTTATGATGCCGATGGAAAGGGAGACAATATTTTAACCTGGATAAGTGAGGTGAAGAAACTGTGAGCCTTGGAATCTCTCAAGGCAACGATCATCCTAACCTTGGCCATGAAAGTAAAAAAATCAATGGACGCTTGAATTGGGACTTCAGCGGCATCAGTGATGAAGTGATGAACATGTTACATGTACATATACATACATGTACATGTACATGTATAGTAGCTGTTGGTCCTACGTAGCACGCATACTTCTTGCCAGACTTGACACTTGACAGCAATGATATTCTAGATGAGTTGTTGTATGACAATTTTGCCACCCACTCCAATGCGCCCATGAATACAGTAGTTGCACACGGAGGGAGCCACTGCACGTAAAATTCTTTAGACGCTTATCTCTGGCACATTTTGCATCATTTACATGTATTATCCCAGTTCTGCAAGCTTACAATCATAATGGTCAAGCGCAGAGCTCTGCCCTAGACTATGTCTTGTTTCTCTTTCTTTGCTCACCTATTGCTCATTACTTCTTTTACAGTTGGTATTATGGAAAGTTTGGAAACCCCCTCGATAGGCGAAAGCCTTTGGGGAATCCTTAAACAATAAAAATTACAAAATTACAAAAAAATTATCTGAGCATACTGCTGTCCTAGCCGGCATACCTTTGTCGCTACGTACAAGGAGCAATAGAAAAAACAGTGAAACCTGTCTAAGACGACCGCTCAAGGGACCTTCAAAGTGTGGTCCCTGTAACCAGGCGGTCTCCTTATCCAGGGCAAGAGTAGATAAACAAGAGTGTGCAACTCCGCGATGGGTTGGCCCAGGGCGGAATTTTTTGTTGACGTAATCTTTTCGACGACGCACGCGCTGCGAGTCGTTTCGGAAAGTTTTCCCTCGTGCTCTTGGCCGGCTTTACATTACAAGGTCGGTGCCCAGCGCGTGCGCTCATACTGCTCTGCGGCAAAATTCGCGTTCTTCTGAAAAAGGTGACGTCAACAAAAAATTCCGCCGTGGGCGGGGGAATCTGCAGATTATGCAGGATAGATCCGCAGTTGCACACTCTTGTTTATCTACTCTTGTCCAGGGTCATTTGACTGGACATAGCATGCATTGGTCCTGGCTGCAGCGGTCTTCTGGGATAGGTGGTCGCCTTATCCGAGTCGTTGTGACTAGTACATGGTAAAAGTAGACATTGAGAAATTGCATGTACATGTACATGTATGTCCATGTCCGCTTGCGCCCAACAATCAGATAAGGCTCAGAAAATGCCATAATTATAATTTTCTTTTTAGTAAAATAGACTTACATCCAACCGAAACATCTTCCTCCAGGGTGCGCGCTACCGCGCCAGGATTGTGCAATCGCAGCGACTCATTGACGACACAATGGAGATAAGTCATGCTTTCGATCTGCAAGAGGGTAGGTAGAGATCCTTCTGGTTCGTTTGCCATAGCCTCCGCGACGTCCCGGTAACAACGATCCTGGACGTCTGGATTCAAAGCTGCACATAGGGTAACCGGAGCATGTGCACAGAACAGAGGTTAGGATGCCATCAGAGAGAACAATGGAGTATTGTGAGCAAGATCAGCAGACCTGCGTGCCTAAGTACTAGCGGTAGTACTATTGTCGGTGGTGAAGTGGAAGGACCCCGTGTGTCAGTTGTGTGTCGAGTAGCCCGGCAATCATTGCCGTAATGATACGGGCTTCGGCATTGATATGTTGACAAACAGTCTATCGCTCTGTGTGCTAGGCACCAGAGCTCTACTCCAAAGTGTTCGAGCATTGGTAGCCACCTATTTACAAGCGGTAACGTACATACACTGGAGACTCCCTCGATTTAGGCTAAGGCCTATGGAGAATACATAAAGTACTTAATACAGAACAGAACAACAACTGGGTACACCCTCTGGTAAAGTACTTAATACAAATGCCAAATACATATGGAAACCTGGTAACACTGCAGCAGCAAACTAAAAACAGGTGACTTGTATTAAAGCTAGCTGCTACTGCTGTGCGACCATTGGTTACATTACAACTGTTTTGCATGGTGGTTGATTATTACATGCAGTCACCGCAGCATAGCGCACACAATTCTGCTCACTGCCATACGGTCTACGTCTTTTACATGTACATAACAGAACCGTTCCTGCACGTGCTCCTAATAAATTTGTTACAGCACTCTCCGGGTGGGAAGTAACACATTAGTTGTTAAGCGCATGCTGACACCCTTACCCAGGTGGTAAAGAATCCAGAGAAGTGAAATCGCAGTCAACTCGTACGACCCGGCCACTATCCCGATAAGATTGTCGCGTATTTCGTCGTCGGTAAAGCCCTCGCCGTCCTTCACGCCTCCTTCCAGCATCATAGTTAGAGCATCACTGGGCACCTCCACACCGTCAGCCATCTCCTGTTTGCGCCTTCTTATGGCGGGACCCACAAACTCAGAAACTAGACCCTGCTGCGCCCTCCTGAGTCTCAACGTCTCTGGAATGTTCAAGTAAGCGACGTGCTTTGCCACACCAGCCACACTCACTCGAGTGTTCACCGTTCCGAACAATACGCGAAGGTACGAACCGAATCGTTCGGATATTTTCCTCTGCTCGGGATCGCGGCTAGTGCCGCAGATTGTCATTCCAAATGAGAACTTGGCCAGCGACTCCACCACCAGCATTCCTGCGTTGTTTGTCCTCGCGTAATCTAGAGTCAGGTTACTGTACCGGCGGCCATCACTGGGCTTCGCAACTTGATCCAGGAAGTCCGCTACTGTGTTGGCGACGATCTCCACGAAGCCACGGACCGCTTTTTTGTGCATCACTGAAGACGTAAGCAACTTCCGGTGCCGCACGTACTCCCTATCTTCTATCACGGCCAATGCTCGACGACCAATGACTTCGGATATGACCTCCACCTGCCTGTGAAATCGCCGGGCATGAACGTTGGTCAGGACCTCCGCGCATAAGACTGGATCCTTGACTATATACATAGGCTCTGCAAACCATTTCGGTCCGAACGTGTAGATGGCCGCCACTCCAGTTGGACTAGACCTCGCTAGCTTCAGTAGATTCGGTATCCACGGGTTCGGTTGACTATTGGGGTTACTGATTATCGGCATAACATGTCCAGTCCACCTACTATAGTGCTCCTCCAACATAGGAGGGAGATTGGAATACGTCTTGCTTGGTTTGCGCCAGTAAAAGTAGACAGACGCGAGCAAGGGAAGAATACAGTATAGCACGATCCTGGTGATTTCATACATCTTCAAACTTATCTATTGTACCGCCAGGCACACGGGGTTGGCTGGAAAGAGTTGTAAACCTGCTAGGAAACGAGTGGAACAACATTGAAGAAACATTGGACTTCTCCCATCTACGGGGGTCTTTTTATACTGATCTCTCATCGCTAGCATGATAGTAGCAACATGTACATGTACATGTAGTAGCAATGTGGACTGAAAACACAGTCCGGCTGGAAGTCACTTCTGCAACACTACAGAAAGCCATTTCGGAAAGTGATAGACAATTATTATTATAGGCACGGGTGTACAGGCCTAAGAGTGCTTTATTCACTCCGTTTCTGAATGCTCCAGATGCTTACGTAACCAGCAACCATCACCTCTTGGGATCCCGTGTGCGGCGTGACCCTAGTAATTGTGACTCTTGACTCTTGGTATTGTCAAAATACTTAATTAGTGCTAGACTGCGCACGCGCAGCCCACTTAAATTCATGAATGCAGCCATGGATCGTTCAAGTTGACACTCTGTTCCACTATAGGTGAAATGTGCTCGAGATTCAAAATTCTCGTCGGCTCTTGGCCGGCTCTGTGTGATCATGCCGTGGTCAAAATGCACTATGTATTGAACTACCATCGCAAAGCACCTACCTGTATTTCTCGAACTTTTCCGAGCTGTCCTCTCAAACTTCTACATGTATTTGTCCATCATAGTAAGTTAGGAAGTACTAGTATTTGATCCTCTAGATCCAGTGAGGATTACTGAACTGCACGGGTAGGGAGAGCAGAGCGATCAGCATCAACTCGAACTACTCCCATGTGTTCCATACGCCTGTAGGGAGCAGTTCGATTTACTGCTGATCGCTCTGCTATCCCTCCCCGTGCAGTTCAGCAATCCTCACGTAGTATCACAGATAGTAGGGAGGTTTAGTCCGACGTAATCCGTGGGTGAAGTTACGTGTGTGTATCACGTGACACTCAGTGACCTACGTACAGACGTTTTCTGATTCACGACATACCGTGTATGGAGGCTCACCCACGTTCCGCCAGAACGTGGGCCGGAAAATCAGAATGGAGCGCATTGTGCGAGCTGTGAGGGTGCTCAGCTGAAGACGTTTCCGAAGCACGAAATCAAAATAACGTTATTGCATGAGCTTCTTAGGCCTGGGTAGCTTCGCCTTTGACCATGTTTGGGTCTTTCGCTTCATGCTTTTGTTTGTCCCGTGTGACTAAACACAACATTGCAACATGGGTGCCCTTCATCTACTTTACGTGGATAGCCCACGTACGCGTTTCCGTCACGTGAGAACTAAATCTCCCAAGTATCATAGATACATGTTCGTTTGTTTGTTTGTATTCATTTGAATTCGCAACTTCAAACGGGCAAGAACCCAACAACATGAAAGCGAATGTGATGATGGCTACGGCCATAGGGAGAATAAGGATAACATACTAATGTCTAACGAGGAGGAGAATGAGAGTTTGAAATGTTTCAGCGTAGAGAGATCGTGTGCGGCGGGGATCAACAGAAATTTAGCTTTTCAACAGTTACAGGGTGAAGGAACTGCGTCCGGAACTTCTGGGCGTGATGAATGACATGTACATGTAGGTTACCAAGAAGTGAATTCCATAGCACTGCACCCCTGCAAGCAAAGCGCCCCCGACCTGCTGCAGAACGGGAAACTGGCACACACAGGCCCATGGCCGATTGGAGCCGAGTATGGCCAGGTGCAGCGGGAGTAAGCAGGGTTTGCAGTTCTGGACTTGGCAGGGCATATCGATAGCGCCACACAAGGTATACGAGCTTCTGGGTGAATACTTCTGCGCAGCTCATGTAGCGCCTACACAGTACACACCCATTGTTGTTGTTTTTGTTTCGTCTTCGTTTTGTCTCCCCTTCTTCTGTAGGTATGTGCAATGTGATAAAAAAATAAAAAACACGCCAATTTAATTTATTATTATTTTTACTGTCGGAACACTTACACGCACTCTAGCAGAGCGCGGGAGGAGCATCAGGGGGGTCGTTTTCTCTCCCCCCCCCCCCCCGCCCGTTTACTCGCAATTATTAGTATCTTATTCTCTTACTATGTGCTTCCATAGCCTTTACTATGTTCTTCCTCAGCCACTTCTAGGCTAAGCCTTAGCCGTCATTTTATTGGGTCGTCATCCCGTTTTGAAAGTGCAAAGTGAAATAAAAACCAACCAACCAACAACAAAAAAGGGGCTTATGTCAGTTTTGATCATTGTCAGTTATCTATACCATGGCATTGCTGTATACCAGCAGAACACTCTGTAAAAAACTAGGTGCAAAATCTTCATCTTTCACAGGGTTATGGTGTTTCAATAAGTGAATTATACATCGCTTTATGCGTAAAACTCAACTTTGAAATGCATTTTTCTCAGTACTTCGCGAAACGACATAAGCCTTATTTTCGGATCTAGAGGCTCAATTATTATCGGGTCCGTTCCCGGAGGGAACTTATGTCAGCCGCGAACACCCGGTAAACCCTAGGCCTAGCGGCAGATGCAGCACCTAACAGTGGGGGCGAGTGGATAAGTCTCCATCCTAGCCCCCGCCATAAAGTCGGCCATAATAAATATGCTCCGCACGGTACAGTCCACCCGGCCCAGTAGAGTTGTTATTGCGAGTGACAACATGGGAGGCAAGTCGATTATTGCAACGTGGGGAATACCGTACTTGCGCGATTAGAGCCCTCTCCTGAATAGTGCCCTCTCTCGAAGAGTGCCCCAGTCTCTAAGAACCAGTGAAATAATAAAGTCCTCTCTCGAATAGTGCCAAAGCCATTATGTATGCAAGTTTGGTGCTCTTTTAGTACTTATCCACTCACCCCCACCGTTAGGCGCTGCATCTGCCGCTAGGGTTTACAGGGTGTTAGCGGCCGTCGTGAGTTCCCTTCGAGAACGGACACGATAATTTACGTTAATATTAATTCTACTTTCCATTGTCCTTGTTCTTTTTGATTTTGCCTGCATCTCACCTGACGAGAAGGCTTGGAAGTATAACAGCGAAAACTTTCGAGTTGCTCGTCCAGGCCTGAAGTTTGTCCTTCTTCTCAGAATTATCGTATTCTTGTCTTCGAGAGATCTGTAAATGTAAAAGTGTCTGTTCGTCTGCTGAGTGGTTTCAACACGAAACTCGGAGTAACGAGAAAGATTTTTGGTCTCTGTTGTTCTGCATTGTGTAAATTAATGTAAAAGTCGATTTTCATAACAGCCCCTGAATGTAAGGGTACATGATTGTAGCGTACCAAAAGCGGAACAGCGATGCCTGGTAGACCCATGGCCTAGGCAACATCTAGCACAGGACGGAGATTCCTATGAAGAAGAGCTGAGCCTGTTCGACGAGGAAATTCCAAGAGAGCGACATACACTGTGTGCATGCGGCGACATTTAGTTCTATAGATCACCGAAGAAGTTCAGTGGCAGGGTTACCAAAGAATACCCTGAAAAAAGCAAGCTGTTGAAGATGTAATCTGTAGCGCAGTGCACTAACAAACCAAATCACAGATCTGTGTTACGTAGCAGTATAAGGTAAACATTAGAATAATTATGATTAAACCAGCAAGCTTTGATCTCTGCAGGGTGGCGGCGTTCCTACGGATGCTGAAAACCCAGCATAAAGCGATCCCTAAAAAATGTTTTGGGTATTTAGAAACTAGACCGTGGTGAAGCCGAACTAGAAGACCATGTCTACAAGTAACTCTGGGAGCCTGTTGTTGTTGTTGTTGTTGTTGTTGTTGTTTGTATTTATTTTGATTCGCAAATTCAAACGGCATAGAACCCAATAACATGAAAGCGAATATGAAAATTATAATGAGAATGAGAATTAAAATGGTTAGATCTTCAGCGTAGAGTCAGCGGTACATCAGAGGGAGATCAGGTACAACAGAAAGAGAACAGAAAAAAAACCAGAAGATTTCGCTTGTCTTCAGGATCTACAGGGCACAGGTATAGGGGATTACCTGCGTGCTAAACTTCCCAGCGTGATGGATGGCACGGATGTCGCTGGGGAAGGCATTCCATAATACAGCACCCTTGCAAGCAAAGCTCCCCCGCCCCGCAACCGAATGGGAAACTGGCACGCACAGACCCATGGCAGATTGGAGCCGAGTAGGGCCGGGTGCAGCGGGGGTTAGCAGGGCTTGCAACTCTGGACTTGCCAGTGCATAACGACAGCGCCACACCAGGTATGCTAGCTTCTGATTGAAGACTTCTGCCACACGGAACACTGCCATGCGCTCCAGCAGGTCGCGGGCGGACGACCACGGAGGGCGGCCAAAGACAGCACGAGCCCCACTGTTCTGCAGGACCTGTAGACGGTCGAGGTGCCTTCTTTGCAGTGAGCTAGAGTACGCGTTTGAGGCATACAGCAGGTCAGACATGATCAGCGATCTAAAGTAGGTCATGCGTGACTGGTGATTCAGGCAGCGGCGCATTCGCCAGCTTGACGTTTATAGGCCAACTGTCCTACAGTTATCCGAATATCGGTGTGCAGTATTCGCTCCCCTTTCTGCATTGCCATAATTGTGTAATTTCTCTTCACTCATAGCAACTCTTCTAACACCGTGAAACTGGTGAGTCATGATGCAAACTGTGAATTGAAGAACGAATGCAGACCAACTCCTCCTGCCTGATTGACTGTCTAAGTCTTACCATTTCATTACATGTTCGATGCCTACACTACACTACAGTGCATGCTTTGCTGTCAATAGTCCTCAGACTCCTGTAGAAAACTGGGACACTATGACACGTAGAGGAGCATACGTCTACTGAAAGCATGTTCGCAGTCCATCAGAGTCTGCCGCCCCAACTGTCAACAGCCCGCAGCCGCGGATCTTTCGATTAGCCGACCTGCACTCATGCTGAGTCCGAATGAATTAATGCAACACCGCCTGTCGACCTTGGTTGCCTAACTGTCTAAGAATGTGACTAATTCGCCTTATCGACAGTAGCCAAAATTGGTCAGGATGATTCCTACCAAGTACCAGGATATTTGGGACTATACTTTCACTAGCTGCTAGCGTGACTAGTTGCTAGCGTGAGTTCGGACGAATGTAAGAACAGGTGTAGGGTTTCTCAAACGGGGAGACAATAATTGATCGCAATTGATCATAATATGCATTTT